TGGCTTGGCCAGGGAGGCATATGCACCGTTGCTGGGCCCGGGACTGGCCTGGCCAGCATTGGTATAAGTGCATGGCTCGCGCCCTCCTCCTCCTTCCACTCTCCCTCCTCCTCCTCATCCTTCTCCTCCCCCTCCTCCCCGTCCTCCTCCTCCTCCTCCTCCTCCTCCTCCTCCTCCTCCTCGTCCTGCTCCTCCTCCTCCTCCTCCTCCTCGTCCTCCTCCTCCTCCTCCTCCTCCTCCTCCTCCTCCTCCTCCTCCTCCTCCTCCTCCTCCTCCCCCTCCTCCTCCTCCTCCTCCTGCAGTCGTTGTGCTCCTGGAGGCATTGTGCTGCGCACGCCAAGTCAGGAACGAGGGGGGCTTTCCTGGCAGAGGCTCGCCTCGGCCACGAATAAGCTCCCCGACCCAAGTCGGATGATCGGCCCGGAAACCAAAGCCGCCCCCCCGAGCCCAAAGCCTTCCCCACTTCAGCGCTTCGGCTGCACACTCAAGACGCGGACAAAAATCAGCAGCTCGGGCTTGGAAGTGGGCTCGTCGTTCGGTGGTCCTAGAGGAAAGAGAACTATGCACATACACCGATTCTGGCCAGGCCCACCCTGAGCCCAGGATCGGTGCATACGCCCTCTTACCTTGGCCAGGAAGGTATATGCACCGATCCTGGGTCAAGCATGGGCGTTGTCAGGATCGGTGCATGTGCATAGTTCTCTTCCCCCGAGGTCCCGTCCATGGGTCATAGCGGTCCTCTGGTCAGCGTCTTCGCTGTACTGCGAGGCGGGGATCTGTCCATATCCACCGCCTGGGCACCGACGTCGCGGCGGCTACGGATATGTGTTGGCCGCCAGGGGCCCGACAATACGTCCATACCCACCGCCCGTGGGGGCCCGCGAAGACACCTGACCGCTCCAATGCTGTTCGGTGCATGGGCCCCGGAAGTCCGGACCTTCTCCCCAAGGCCGGTTATTCGTCCTGAGTACTCCAGATTTCGTAATAAAAGGGAGGGGGTCTGGACCCTCCAAGACAAGCCATTTCAGACCCCCCCCCGTGGGAGAACCCTCCAAAACATCGTCCCCAGACCCCCCCAGGCCCTCCAAGATAGCCTGGAAGAGACCCCCCCCGAAATGAGACCCCCCCCCCTTTTGTTACGAAATCTGGAGCACCCTCCGAGACAGTCGGTGGACGGAGTGCGGGTGGTCCCGAGGCCCGACGAGGGCCCCCAGAGGCCGAGAAGGGCGAAGAGCCTCTCGTCGTGATTGCTGTCACGGCGCGAGCGGGTCTGGGCAGGAGGGCCCAGAGCCGAATCGACAGGTCGGATCGGCGATCGACATGAATCGGTTCGACGGACATCGACAGCCGAGTAGGACAACGTCGAATCGGCAAACATCGGCTGGCGAGGAGGACTCCATTGAGAAACCGGACCCCACCTCGGAATCCGAAACCGAATGGAATCGGAATCAGAACTTGTCGATGTCGAACCGAATCGAGTCGAGTCGGAGGAGTCGAAATGAGCCCTGTCTGGGCCCCCGCCTCGGATGTGCCACCCCCCCGGCCGAGGAGGGCGCTCTGCCCTTTGGGAGGAGGGGGAGGAGGGGGGGAGGGGAAGGAGGGGGGGAAAAGGAGGAGGAGGGGAGGAGGAGGAGGAGGGGGAGGAGGGGGAGGAGGGGGAGGAGGGGGAGGGAGACGAGGGGATGGGGAAGGAGGAGGAGGAGGAGGAGGAGGAGGAGGAGGAGGGAGGAGGAGGAGGAGGAGCCGAGGAGGAGAGGAGGAGGAGGAGGAGGAGGAGGAGGGGAGGAGGAGGAGGAGGAGGAGGGGGAGAGGAGGAGGAGGAGGAGGAGGAGGAGGAGGAGGAGGAGGAGGAGGAGGAGGAGAGGAGGAGGAGGAGGAGGAGGGGGAGTAGGAGGAGGAGGAGGAGGAGGAGGAGGAGGAGGAGGAGGAGGAGGAGGAGGAGGGTGTGCCCCCATGGGCCGAGGAGGGCGCTCTTCCGCACTCGCCCTCGAGGCGACACCAGATGGGCGGCTGCCCCCCCCCCCTCCGGCAGCACGGCAGGCCCAGGCCGCGCCGCTCGAGGAGCCAGGATCGAGGAGGATCGAGGAGGATCGAAGAGGAGGATCGGGGAGGAGGATCGAGGAGGAGGATCGAGGAGAAGGAAGGATCGAGGAGAATCGAGGAGGAGGAAGGATCGAGGAGCAGAATCTCCGAGGAGGGGGATCTCCGAGGAGGAGGAGGAGGATGTCCGAGGAGGAGAATCGAGAGGGGTCGGGGAGGAGGATCGAGGCCCAGGCACGGGTCGAGGAGGATCGATGATCGAGGATCGGTCCTCCTCAATCCGCGCCCGGGCCTCGATGACTGCTCATCGCTGCCGCGCCCCCCCCCCCGGCACGCACGGCAGCGCCCGAGAGCGCCCCGTTCACGCAGGCCCCGCCCCAGAGGCCCGAGTGGGCGGTGCGCACCAGGGGGCGGCGCTGAGGGGGGGCGGGGCCTGCGCGGGGGGGGGGGGCCTCCGAGGCGGCGGCGCGCTTCCCAGCCGGCATGGGGCCTTCTCGGAGGCAGAGGCCTCAGAGGTGGTGTCGGAGTAGATGGTGTCGGAGGATCGCGCCGCCTCGCCGATACATCGGCGATGCATCGGCGATGCATCGGCGATGCACCGGCGATGCATCGCCGACGTCGGGGATGCATCGGCGACGTCGACGTGAGGCACATCGGGCTGCACATCGAGCCGCATCGGCGATGCATCGGCGATGCGGCGCAATCCTCCGACCCCATCTACTCCGACCCCATCTAGGAGGCCTAGAGGAGAGGCCCGGGAACCTCCGAGAAGGCTGCCCAGACGCCGGGAGGCCCTCTGAGGAGGTCCCCTGTCTTCTTTCTAGAGGCCCCCGCGCCTTCTCTCGATTAGCAAAGTAGCTACTCGCAAATGGCCCAAATCCGCCGCGGGGAATTTCCGCTCCATTAACATAGAGGGATGGCAAGCTTTTCTATCGCTTGCGAGTAGGCACCTTGCGAGTAGTGGAACGCGCTCGGAGATTCTCAGAGAGTGGCACCCCTCACGCTACCTCCTTGTGCGCACCGCTGGCAAACGACTGCACGAGAATAAGCTTCTTTCGGAGTTCCGTGCGGACCCGCTGGGTTTTGGGCTGGCGCTCGCGCTGGACGAGGGAGCGGAGGGAGAGGATGGGCAAAACGATGAGGGAGAGGATGATAGAAGAAGAAAAAACGCCATACATATAAACTGTTGGCGCTCCGCGCGGATTTCGTGGATCCGCGCTGGACCCCCCTCCCTGGCGCGCGGAGCGCCAAAACATTATGCTTGGCGTTTGTTCTTCCTCAGCGTGAGGGGACGGGGGCCGGAGACCTCTCGAAAGCACGAGGTCTCGGTGGCGCGGGGGCGGAGGCGGCGGGAGGAGGCGCGGCCCATGCGACACGCTGCGCCCTGCAAGCTGCTATCGGCATGTGTCGCTTCGCCTCGCGAGGCGGGAGGCTGGGAGAAGCCGTGAGCGATGACGCTCTGGGGCAGAGACGTGCCCAGCTTGTGGCGCCGGCGTGCGGAAGGCGGCGGCACTTCGCACAGCCCTCGCGCCTTGCGAGAATCTGCTTCGTCCTCGGGGGAGGCTTGGGAAGCTTCTCAGAAAAGGCCGGGTGACTTCCGAAGATTCTGTGAAGGCCTCCTCCTTCTCACCTCCCCCCCTCGCTCGCCGCCGAAGAGCGGAGGGAGGACAGAGGAGGACGAAGATAACGAGAAGGAGCAGCCTGCGCCCCCAGACGTCCTCCGAAAGGATTTCGTTCTATGCGCGTCCAGGACCCCAAACATGCTCTGAAAAGGTCAAAACATAGCCCCCAGACTATGTTTGGACTATGGTTGGGGGGAATCTTTAATTCTTCGCCGAAAATCCCAGCTGTAGGAGGACAGGCCCGACATCACCGAGGCCCCAGAGCAACCCCCGCCCCCCCCGACCCCCGTCCCCGAGGGGCGAACCTTCCGCCCCGGAGCCCTTTGGAGGGCCCCAGGGGCCCGAGGGTGGGCCCCCCCGAGGCCTCGGAACCCGAGGAGGAGCCGCCGGTGGAAACTGCACAGTCGGGGGCTGGACCTGAGGAAGCCAAAACAAGGACCGAGGCCCCTTTTTTTGCATGAGTTAACCTGAGATAACCTTTGATTGCCGATCGGAAACATGAGGAAAACCTGAGGCAAGCTGTGAAACACTGAAGGAACGCGGGCCCCCCGAGGCCCGCACCCGAGGAGGAACCGCCGGTGGAAACTGCACAGTCGGGGGCTGGACCGGAGGATTGCAAAAAAAACAAGGATTGCAAAAAACCCAGGATTGCAAAAAAACCCTGTTTTCTTTTGCAATCCAGGTTTTTTTTTTTGCAGTCCAGGGTTTTTTTTTGCAATCCTTCGTTCAAGTGAGGGTTTTTTCGCAATCCAGGGTTTTTTTTGCAATCCTTCGCCAAAACAACAGGAGACCCCATAATCGAATCGATACATCGGATCGGCAATCGAGATGGATCGGATCGTCAGAAATCGGCAGCCGAGTCGGGAGAAGTTGAATCGGCGGGAATCGGCAGGCAGGCAGGCCTCCATTGGGACATCGGAGCCCACATCGGAATCCGAAATCGAATCGGATCGGAATCGGAAGCCATCGAGATCGAATCGAATCGAATCGGAGGAATCGAAACGAGCCCTGAAACAAGGACCGAGGCCCCTTTTTTCCATGAGTTAAACTTCGATTGCCGATCGGAAACACGAGGAAAACCTGGGGCAAGCTGTGAAACACCTTCAGGAACGCGGAGCCCCTCCCCAGCGAAAAGGGTTCCTCCTTCAGGGCCCCGACTGTAGAACATCGCGGGAGATCGGGGCCCACCGCCCGTCCCCGGAGCTCTCCCCGGGCGAGTCCTCGGGCGAGACCTCCGAGGAGAGGCCAGCCCTGGCGACGCCCACGGCTCCAGCACGAGAGCAGCGGCCTCGGTGATCTGGTCCTCCTCGGGCCCTTCCCCCCCCCCCCCTGGACGGCCACGGAGCGGTAGAACTCGCAGGAGACGTCGGACATCTTGTCCTGCGCGGGGCGCGCCGGCGTCTTCGTCTCGCAGGGGCAGCGATAGGGGGGGGGGGCTGGCTCAGAGGGGGAACCCTCGGCCTGGAATCGGCGATGGATCGCCGAGAGGTTTAGGTCGGGCATGCCCTCCTACAGGCGGGCTTTGGAAGACGAGTGAAACATTGCCAAAGATATTCAACCATAGTCAAACATAGTCGAAAAATCGTCCCCAGACTACTTTTGACGATGCTTGAAAACTCTTCTTGCAGGCGGACATGCCCGACTTACCGATAGATCGCCGATAGGTGGACGATAGGCTCCCGATGGCAAAACCGTACGGCCCTGGGCGAGGGAGGCAATCGGGCCCCTATCGGCTATACGAATGGGCGATCGGGGGTCGATGCACCTCCGCTGAACCTATCCCCCCTTAACTAAATAGCCAGAGAAAAGCACGCCGTAGACATAAATTTTTGGCGCTCCGCGCGGTCTTCCTGGCTCTGCGCTGGACCCCCCTCCCTGGCGCGCGGAGTGCGCCAGGGGCGGCGCTGGAAGCGCCGCTGGGGGCGCACAGCGCGGATCCAAGAAGTCCGCGCGGAGCGCCCCCCAAAAATGTTTACGGCGATATTCTTTCAAACATCTCGAACGTGTATGTTTGTGGCGCGTTTTTCGTTTTCGATTGACGTTGCCCCTGGGCTTCCTGGCCAGAGCTCGGCTCTCAGGCGGCCGGTCGGAACGCTTAGGGCCCGCCCCAGAACGCCCTCGGCAAGGCGTAGGCTTAGGTCGGGCCTGACCCCCTGCAGGGGGATCGTGGGAGAAAGAATCAAATGAAAGTCCGACTTTTTGTTTGACATCAACAAGAACTGTCACCAGCAAGGCTGGTTTGTAATGATTTAGATGAGGATTTTAATCCGCCTCGCACGGTGAGGTCTTGCACTCCCTCGGGGTCTACCTTCAGGCTCGAGCTGTAACTGGGGTATAGACACCACGAAGCACACGGCGCCAAAGAGACTTCTTATGGGGGGTCATCTTGCGGTCGCACCTGCCTATGAGGTTGGACTGCTTGAGAGACCCTTGGCCGACATAACAGGCGCAGTGCGTACAAATGTGTAACAAATCGCCGTTGTCACACGGCAGACAGACGACAAAGTGACCGTTTTTCTCCATCTCCCCAAAGTCCCAGTCCCCGCGAATACCCGAGCATCCACTGGTCGGGGGGCGGAGCTGAGACCGAGAGGCCTTGAGACACACTTTGCAGCGCCATCTGCGTGATTTAAATTCCCAAACATGCACTGGGCGGTCAGGGTGCCTGTCGTGGGCCCGCCCAGCAGGTGACACTCGCTCAACGTCCTTCACATCGAGCCTTGGCCACTTAAACAGCAACGCAGCAGCCAGCTTGAATACTGCATTGGCCACTAGCACCGTCTTTTTCGAGAGCTTCTTGCTAGTCCACCGAAGGGGCCTGGTGGAGCCTCACCCCAGCCTTCGCGGCTTGGTCGGCATGGAAATTCCCTCTCCTAAGCTGCATCTCGCTCTCAGGCACCCCCTCTTCCTCAAGGGACAGGTGTGCCTTTATTTTCTTCATATATTTGATTAGGTGTGAAATTCTTTGGCTATATAACAAAAGCCCAGCATAGGGCCGTTGATAATGTAACTGGTCGCCCAGGGGTCGGTTCGCCTGCACGTGAACATTGGCGCAGTCCGTATAGAAACCACACTCGCCCTCCACGACTTGGCTAGAACAGCCAAAGGCGGCGAACTCGCCAGCCTGGGACGTTTGCGGCAAACCCGCAGTGCCGAAAGCTCTGCCCAGGAACCCGAACTCCCGATCGAAAATCGCAGGCCCCCAAGCCGCCCTGTTAAGTTCTCGCACGGCACACCTCGTACAGCTCCCGTCCAGGAACAACTCCCCCATGACCACCCCCTCCTCCGTAGTGACACCCTCCTCCCATTGCCAACAGGTCTTCCCTCCCTTGTCGGGCCTGGGCCAGTGATCTCCTGGGTGAAGAAAAATACCAAGGGTGAGTCGGAACAGGCCTTGGGGGTTGTCAGTGCCCATAGAGTCCACCAGTGATTGACATTTATTCGAAACGATCTAGGCTCGCTCCTCAGCACACGCTAGGCAGTGCCATAATCTGTGCAGCAGCGAGTCTGGCCCTTGGCCGCACAAGGGACACTCCACTGATTCCAGCTGCTAGCCAAGACCTCGCGCCTTTACTGTGGTCCAGCTGGCATCGCAACCGATAATCCGTACTGCTGCCTTGCCCGAGGGGGAGACCTCACTCGAGTGCAGTTCACGCTTCAACACGTCGTAGCAAAGCCTCGGGACCTCCAGGACCGAATTCTGAGCCGCAGTCCGCTCCAGGCTTCGAAGAACAGCCTGGCGCAACAACACCTTCAAAATGCCTGGACTGACCTCGGTTAAAATCAGCTTCTCCCCGAAACCGTTTCCAACGTGACCCAATCTATCAGCTTCCACTGGGTTCTTTTGTGACACATGTAGATCGCGGAGAACGGGCCCGGGACCTCTCTCCACGAGGACGGTGGAGTCTTCGCGAAGAACATACCCCAGGCCTCGCGGAGCTCCGCGAAACTAAAACACCAGCGGCACGCACCTGAGTGGGCACACCACAGCTCCTTAGAGTACCTGGCTAGGGAAGCAACCGCCGCGAGCCAAGTTGACTCATCTTCCAGAATTAACCAGCTTGTGAGAGATCTACATTTGCAGCTAGGGCTCATGACCGAACCAGCTTGTTGACGGATACGGTGGAGCTCCCCGTCCGAAATCCCATGGGCCTCGGACCCGCGCAGCGCCCCAGGCAGCGGCCCCGAGACCCAGATTTTCTCAGCGTGGGACGCGATTTGTATTTTCATGTTCCTCACCTCCCGAGTCTAGGCCTTCAGGGTGGCCATGCGAATCTTGAACTTGGACTCGCGGAGGGCCCCCTTCTTGTAAGCCTTCCTTCGAGACCTGCCAGCAGTGAGATCTGTGCCTAAGTCCACAATGCAGTCCGCCAGCGGCCCCGCGCGCCCGCCAAGGAAAAACTGGAGCTCCCTAGCGACGGCGCCGTCCGAGCACGCCAAGTTGCCCTGGCTCGCCTCGGACAGCGAGATGGAGCAGCCGCTCTCGTGGACTGAGGCCTGCTCCAACTGCCTAGAACTCCCATTGATCCCCCTGAGGGCTTCCGGAGCGGTTCCCGTGGAGTACGGACCCGAATCGTCGATGCACTGCGCCAGGAAAATACCCCTGGGAAGTTTTAACTGCTGAGCGGCCCCAGGAGGCACACCCTCACAAGTGTCGTGGCCATGGAGCAGCCAGCCACAACCCCCCTGCGAGCAAAGAAAGGCCCCGCCACCGACGAAGCTATACTAACAAATCTGCCGTACCTATAGGCCGTCACACAAAGCTGGGCGATGGCCGTGGGGAACTGAAACTTGCGAGCTTCCTCAATCAAACGCTCGCGCGAGACATTCTCATAGAATTTCGTCAGATCCCACAGAGGCATCGCAGAAACTTCCCCTTTACGAGTGCTGACCTCAGCTCGCGCCGCTTGGCGCCACACCGTGTCCGCCGCGCAAGCGAACGGGCTCCCCGCAACCAAAAAAAACTCATGGCATTCCCAGCTTCCCACTCCGCCGCCAACTCCCTTCTGCATTTACCCCGAAGCCTGAACAGGGAAACGCGCGGCCCGATCGGTCTGTACCCCCCAGACGCTTTGGAAAGTAACACCACCTGGATTATCTGCAGCTGGCGCGGCAGGCAGGAGAGCGATTCGAAGATGGCAAAAGAGAGGATCACCACCTGCAGCGCCGAGTCCGACAGCCACGAGTAATGCCTCATGTGAAACCCGTCAACTGCCTGAGCCGTAGCGACCTTGAAGGCAGCCGAGGTCACTCAAATGCGGTCGACTGAGACTAGAGGGAGGGGCCGATACAGTCCAGCAAACATACTGCACGGGGCCTCTGAATCAACATTCCAATTTTGGGCCCAACTCGAGGCCTCACTCTTTAGGAGACTCAAGAGGTCCGACACCACCAATCCCCCCGCAGAGAGGGTGGTGGTGGCTTTCCATCCAAGGGCCTCCTTGGAGGCCAAGTGAGCGTTTTTCCCCCCCTCCTTGACTTTTGTTAGAAGCCAGTTTTTCCACCCAGCCTCACCTTCACGATGGGCTTCCCATTGGAGCTTTAGAACATACTGCTGGATCAACCCCAACGCGTCCTGAGCGGCCTCCAGCCACTCTGCCTTGTCTAACACGAGATTCAGACCGTCGGCGCACCCGCTGTCCAGCGGCACCGCCCTCGCAAAAGATTGGGTCGCGCTGAGGTACTTACCCCAACCGCCCGACCCGACAATGTGACCGAACGACGGGGGGTCCAAGAGAGTCTCCTTGGTCTCAAGGGCTTCGGGGGCTCCCTCACGACACTCGACCATCAGGTCCTGGAACCGACGCGATAACCATTTCCCCGCGAAGAGCTTCGGGTGACGGAGCGGGGGGCTTTATCCTTGATGATCGGGGCCCAGTGCAACTGCGGTGACGTACTGCGAGCACCATAGTACGGCAACGTGGTCTGGGCCAAATCGCAAAGCTCCCTCTCGGCCAGGTCGGCCCAGAGACCATGCGCCCAGTCAGGCGACGCCTGGGCCTCCGTAGCGTTCCCAGACAGCGCTGTGCCAAAGCAACCCTCGGCAGCATCCTGCACCATATTCCAATCAGGCGGTGAACGGCCGACCCCAATCGGCCTCTCCTTCGGAATAGGGGGCGGCTTACGGAAAGTGAGGGCGCACAGCTGAGCGAGCCGAGGAAAAAAAGGTGGAGGTGTACTGGCGTGTGCGGCGACAGCTGCGCCACCTGCACGATGCTTGTGTCCTGGGTGCCCTTCGCTATGCCCCCAGCGCGCACGAAGTATTCCAAAACGTAAGGCCTCCCAACGATCTGCAGGCCCCCGAGCCCGACGGTTTGATCAGAGACCCCTCCAGCTTCTCAGGGAGCCCCGGTTCCAGAAGGACCTCTGGTGCCATATTC